CTCCTACATGAACCAGTGATAGTATTGCACTAAAATAGGTAAGCATATATACTCTGTCGTATTTGTTATTTGACGAGCGCAGTGGATACTAGGGGTGATTATCAGCGATTGTTGGCGGCTTGCCATATGACTTGTTGTAAATAAGATACATTGAAACATGTCGTAACAAGCTATATAGAGCAGCCATATGACGTGTTGTACATAAAATACATTGAAACATGTCGTAACAATCTATATCGAACAACCATATGACGTGTTGTAAATAAAATACATTGAAAATGTAGGTAACATGTCGTAACAATCTATATAGAACAACCGTATGATGTGTTGTAAATAAAATACATTGAAACATGTCGTAACAATCTATATAGAACAACCATATGACGTGTTGTAAATAAAATACATTGAAACATGTCGTAACAATCTATATAGAACAACCATATGACGTGTTGTAAATAAAATACATTGAAACATGTCGTAACAATCTATACAGAACAACCATATGACGTGTTGTAAATAAAATACATTGAAACATGTCGTAACAATCTATATATGACGTGTTGTAACATGTCGTAACAATCTATACAGAACAACCATATGACGTGTTGTAAATAAAATACATTGAACCATGTCGTAACAATATAGAACAACCATATGACGTGTTGTATATGAATCTATACAGAACAACCATGTTGTAAATAAAATGTTGTATTTGAAACATGTCGTAACAATCTATACAGAACAACCATATGACGTGTTGTAAATAAAATACATTGAAACATGTCGTAACAATCTATACAGAACAACCATATGACGTGTTGTAAATAAAATACATTGAAAACCATGTCGTAACAATCTATACAGAACAACCATATGACGTGTTGTAAATAAAATACATTGAAACATGTCGTAACAATCTATACAGAACAACATATGACGTGTTGTAAAATGAAATACATTGAAACATGTCGTAACAATCTATACAGAACAACCATATGACGTGTTGTAAATAAAATACATTGAAACATGTCGTAACAATCTATACAGAACAACCATATGACGTTGTTGTAAAATAAAATACATTGAAACACATGTCATGTCGTAACAATCTATATAGAACAACCATATGACGTGTTGTAAATAAAAATACATTGAAACATGTCGTAACAATCTATACAGAACAAACATATGACGTGTTGTAAATAAAATACATTGAAATACATTGAAACATGTCGTAACAATCTATATAGAACAACCATATGACGTGTTGTAAATAAAATACATTGAAACATGTCGTAACAATCTATACAGAACAACCATATGACGTGTTGTAAATAAAATACATTGAAACATGTCGTAACAATCTATACAGAACAACCATATGACGTGTTGTAAATAAAATACATTGAAACATGTCGTAACAATCTACATCTATATAAAACAACCATATGACGTGTTGTAAATAAAATACATTGAAACATGTCGTAACAATCTATACAGAACAACCATATGACGTGTTGTAAATAAAATACATTGAAACATGTCGTAACAATCTATACAGAACAACCATATGACGTGTTGTAAATAAAATACATTGAAACATGTCGTAACAATCTATATAGAACAACCATATGACGTGTTGTAAATAAAATACATTGAAACATGTCGTAACAATCTATAAATACAGAACAACCATATGACGTGTTGTAAATAAAATACATTGAAACATGTCGTAACAATCTATATAGAACAACCATATGACGTGTTGTAAATAAAATACATTGAAACATGTCGTAACAATCTATACAGAACAACCATATGACGTGTTGTAAATGAAATACATTGAAACATGTCGTAACAATCTATATAGAACAACCATATGACGTGTTGTAAATAAAATACATTGAACACATGTCGTAACAATCTATACAGAACAACCATATGACGTGTTGTAAATAAAATACATTGAAACATGTCGTAACAATCTATACAGAACAACCATATGACGTGTTGTAAATAAAATACATTGAAACATGTCGTAACAATCTATACAGAACAACCATATGACGTGTTGTAAATAAAATACATTGAAACATGTCGTAACAATCTATACAGAACAACCATATGACGTGTTGTAAATAAAATACATTGAAACATGTCGTAACAATCTAATAAAACCATATGACGTGTTGTAAATAAAATACATTGAAACATGTCGTAACAATCTATACAGAACAACCATATGACGTGTTGTAAATAAAATACATTGAAAAACATGTCGTAACAATCTATACAGAACAACCATATGACGTGTTGTAAATAAAATACATTGAAACATGTCGTAACAATCTATACAGAACAACCATATGACGTGTTGTAAATAAAATACATTGAAACATGTCGTAACAATCTATATAGAACAACCATATGACGTGTTGTAAATAAAATACATTGAAACATGTCGTAACAATCTATACAGAACAACCATATGACGTGTTGTAAATAAAATACATTGAAACATGTCGTAACAATCTATATAGAACAACCATATGACGTGTTGTAAATAAAATACATTGAAACATGTCGTATCAATCTATACAGAACAACCATATGACGTGTTGTAAATAAAATACATTGAAACATGTCGTAACAATCTATACAGAACAACCATATGACGTGTTGTAAATAAAATACATTGAACAACCATATGACGACGTGTTGTAAATAAAATACATTGAAACATGTCGTAACAATCTATACAGAACAACCATATGACGTGTTGTAAATAAAATACATTGAAACATGTCGTAACAGTCTATATAGAACAACCATATGACGTGTTGTAAATAAAATACATTGAAACATGTCGTAACAATCTACATGTATATAGAACAACCATATGACGTGTTGTAAATAAAATACATTGAAACATGTCGTAACAATCTATACAGAACTACCATATGACGTGTTGCAAAAAAATACATTAAACCATGTCGTAACATCTATATAGAACAACCATATGACGTTTTGAAAATAAAATACATTGAAACATGTCGTAACAATCTATACAGAACAACCATATGACGTGTTGTAAATAAAATACATTGAAACATGTCGTAACATCTATACAAAACAACCATATGACGTGTTGTAAATGAAATACGTTGTGACGTATCGTAACAATCCATAAGATGTGTTTGTACATGTGATTTGACGTACATTAGATATATAGAGAATACTACACTAGGAAGGTCACGAGTTTCGTATAATTCGTCTGTGATGAGACCGAGTGTGGTATTTTATTTATTACCCACGTCTTACATGCATTAAATTGACAAAATAGCGTATTTTTTGTTATTTTTATAGTTTCAAACCGAAACCGGTTTCATAAAGAGGTTGAGGAAGAGTTTTATACTGTAGTACAATATTTGCATGACGTCACACTGTAATGACGTCACTGCCTTGGTAACCGACGTCACGATGCATGTCAGTTGTCATCGCCTCGTACAGCCTCCTACAGTAAACTACTCCGTAGCACCCGGTTTCTTGGTTTGCAGTTGCTTCATTCGGCTAACATCACTGGTGGAATCATTGGGTTTATGTTTTTCGACGGATATGATGTCTCAGTTCGACTCATAATTAAACAGCGACACGGCAACGTTCGCAATGTTTACATTCCCACAATGCATTTAAGTTGTAGAATGAATGAATTCACGTGTTTGTTATGAATGAAAACATAGTTACGTCAGAATGTGACCTAATTGAGAGGTCATCGGTTATCCAATCAAATCGTTAGAATCTCAGATCAAGTCGTTACGACACAGGTCAACGCGATACGACACTCGTGTGACGTACGAGATTAGTATGCAACTACCCATACGTTGACCACGTGGGTAATAAATCCTGATATGTCGTAACAATATATTAAAAAAACAACCATGCTGCGTGTTGTACATTAAAATACGTTGGGACATTTCGTAACAATCTATGTGGAACAACAGTGTGACGTGTTGTGCATTATACATAAAGCTGCCAAGTGACGTGTACTTTAAACAGTCATGCGTCATGTTGAATATTGCAGAGAAGTGCAGGGCATGCTTTACTGTTTTTGCAAATGGTGTCATTACAAAGTGTCTACGCTGTTTGGTCATTTTTGCCTAAACGGAATCTATTTCGCCAGATAACCGTGACTTGGTATTCCCTGGGCTGACTTTGTATATGTATGTCTGGAGCTAGATGTATCTCTCTGTATTCCCTGGGTTGACTTTGTGTATGTATGTCTGGAGCTAGATGTATCTCTCTGTATTCCCTGGGTTGACTTTGTATATGTATGTCTGGAGCTAGATGTATCTCTCTGTATTCCCTGGGCTGACTTTGTATATGTATGTCTGGAGCTAGATGTATCTCTCTGTATTCCCTGGGCTGACTTTGTATATGTATGTCTGGAGCTAGATGTATCTCTCTGCTAGATTTGTATATGTATGTCTGGAGCTAGATGTATCTCTCGCTATTCCCTGGGTTGACTTTGTATATGTATGTCTGGAGCTAGATGTATCTCTCTGTATTCCCTGGGCTGACTTTGTATATGTATGTCTGGAGCTAGATGTATCTCTCGGTATTCCCTGGGCTGACTTTGTATATGTATGTCTGGAGCTAGATGTATCTCTCCGTTTGTCTGACCGTATTATGGTTTCCTGTATGAATGTCTCTGTTTGTTGCTTGTCTCTGACACTTACTCTAGCTTATGATGACATGTTTCCGAAAGTATGTAATTAAAATAATCCACCAAGAAGGATGTTCAAGGAGTAAAGTCCATGAATTATGTCCTCAAAGATTTTGTTGACGCGTTAAGTCTGATCTTCTTTCAAACAAGCTCCTCCGTTGTTGAACGCGTATTAGCATCCGCCTCCAATCACCCCCTCACACATCCTCGACAGCGACTGTGACAGCTAAAGGAAGCTACCCTCCATTTACTTGCGTCGCCAGCAGTTCCGCAGAAAGTTGACCTGAGTGAGTCCCTGGTTCGCCCCCTCTCTGCTCGCTATATAGCAGCTTGGAGAACTGACCAAGAACCTTTCTAGTGCGTGCTCCCGTGATGTGCCCAGTCCGACGGGAAACGGGACTAACTTCATTGTGAGCGTCATTTGACTAACACAGGGGCCGCGCTAACATTAGAGTCCGCAGGTAGGTGTCTACTTTAAATACGTCTCAATTATTCAGTAACTCTTCCCATGCTGAAATCCGCAGGTTACATTGTTTCTAGGGTTTATAGGATTTTATTCTGCTTGTCTTAATGCAAGTATGAAACAGACAAACAGACAGGACAGGAGGAGGAAGAGAATATAGGTATTTATGTATACACTATGCAGATAAGACACCGACGTTCTAAACCAGCGAATTCCGACAGACTATTGAAGACTTGTGTGGGGGTTGAGATTTGTTCCCCCCTTAGCTTTTGGGTAACTGGTAAAGGGCTTCACAAAGGCAAGGCCGATTATTGGGGATTAACTGTGTTTTGACACGAATTATTGGTTCAAAACTTTTTGCCACATACGGGATTGTTCGGTGTAAACTGTTTTGCTAAACACCTAACTATAGATGATTGAGTATAGTGTTGTTATATATCTGATGATTGGATATAGTGTTGTTATAGATCTGATGATTGGATAAAGTGTTGTTATGGATCTGATGATTGAGCATGGTGTTGTTATAGATCTGATGATTGAATATAGTGTTGTTATATATCTGATGATTGAGCATAGTGTTGTTATAGATCTGATGATTAAGCATGGTGTTGTTAATATATCTGATGATTGAACATGGTGTTGTTACATAGCTGATGATTGGATATAGTGTTGTTATAGATCTGATGATTGAGTATAGTGTTGTTATAGATCTGATGATTGAGCGTGGTGTTGTTATATATCTGATGATTGAATATAGTGTTGTTATATATCTGATGATTGAGCATAGTGTTGTTATAGATAAGATGATTGAGCATGGTGTTGTTATATATCTGATGATTGAGCATGGTGTTGTTACATAGCTGATGATTGGATATAGTGTTGTTATAGATCTAATGATTGAGTATAGTGTTGTTATAGATGTGATGATTGAGCATGGTGTTGTTATATATAAGATGATTGGATATAGTGTTGTTATAGATCTGATGATTGGAAAAAGTGTTGGTACATACCTGATGATTGAGTATAGTGTTGTTATATATAAGATGATTTAATATAGTGTTGTTATAGATCTGATGATTGGACATAGTGTTGTTATAGATCTGATGATTGGATATAGTGTTGGTACATACCTGATGATTGAATATAGTGTTGTTATATATCTGATGATTGGACATAGTGTTGTTATAGATCTGATGATTGGACATAGTGTTGTTATAGATCTGATGATTGGACATAGTGTTGTTATAGATCTGATGATTGGACATAGTGTTGTTATAGATCTGATGATTGGATATAGTGTTGTTATATATCTGATGATTGGACATAGTGTTGTTATAGATCTGATGATTGGACATAGTGTTGTTATAGATCTGATGATTGGACATAGTGTTGTTATAGATCTGATGATTGGACATAGTGTTGTTATATATAAGATGATTGGACATAGTGTTGTTATAGATCTGATGATTGGACATAGTGTTGTTATAGATCTGATGATTGGACATAGTGTTGTTATAGATCTGATGATTGAATATAGTGTTGGTATAGATCTGATGATTGAATATAGTGTTGGTACATACCTGATGATTGGACATAGTGTTGTTATAGATCTGATGATTGAATATAGTGTTGTTATATATCTGATGATTGAATATAGTGTTGGTACATACCTGATGATTGAGTATAGTGTTGTAATATATAAGATGATTGAATATAGTGTTGTTATATATCTGATGATTGAATATAGTGTTGTTATAGATCTGATGATTGGACATAGTGTTGTTATAGATCTGATGATTGAATATAGTGTTGTTATATATCTGATGATTGAATATAGTGTTGGTACATACCTGATGATTGAGTATAGTGTTGTTATATATAAGATGATTGAATATAGTGTTGTTATATATCTGATGATTGAATATAGTGTTGGTACATAAGTCGTGACTGAGTGTGGCGTTGTTACATGCCGGAGGATTGAACATATTTGCGTTACTTTCACATACCTGATGATTGATTGTAGTGTTGTTACATAATTCGTGATTGAGTACATACTCGGTGATTGGTAATATGTGTTAAAACGCCACACTTCTACAGCAGACATTTTCTGTAGTTTTCCCTCCCATACTTTTGTTTAATGCGATGTTCTTCACAAGTAACAGTTCCAGACCTTGTGTCACGGATATTGCAATTGCTTCTGTAAACAAGACAATGGTCTATGTTTATAATAAACACGCTAAGTACAGTTATCCGAATTGCGAACTGCGGTTATAACGAACACAAACATTAGTGCTCCCTTTATAACTGTAGGATAAAACAGGAAAGGCAAAATTAAAACATTTGCGATAAAATAAGTGTTAACATAAATATTTATTGGCATGGCATAAACCACCGGTAAAACAGATTAAGTGTTAACATAAATATTTATTGTATGTATAAACGGTATGTTTTACTGTTAAATATACAATCAACATGGATAAATGATGCATCGTTCGATTAGGTCAAGTGAAAAATAATTGACAATTTTGTCAAAGTAATATGTACTAAATAAAATTGTCTGTATTGCACCACAATCATTTTTAACGTCAACGCCACCACTGACAGAGCGTTATTGACTTGGCTGATGTACATTCATCGCACATATCTCGATTACCGTGACCATTTGCACAAAACGATCTTACCGCTAATGCTGGCGTTACCCCTGGACATTAACAAATAGCAATAATACCACGGTAATGTTTTTATACATGTGATCTGATTGTGGACTGAATACGTTGGCTTATCCACATGCATGTATGTAGCGTGCAATATACAACTGAGACGAAATGCCACCTTACTGAAGTAGTGTGTTGCTTTGTTGGACGAGTTGATTGTTCGTGTCCAGTGAACAGGAGAAAGAAATTGGAAATGAAATTGGCCTATTTTCTTCTTCATCCGATCTGAAAATGACGACTGTTTCCGTACCGCAATGAATGTAGCACAGCACATTTCTTTCTCTCTTATTGTGATTCCACCTGTGCAGAGCCACGAGGCCAGAGCAACGACAAATACTTTGCTCAACCGACAGACATGTGGTTTCTGCGATTTGTTCTTGCGGTTAAATTTACAGCCACGCGCTGACTCCTTGGTGTTCTTTCTGTACCGGGCCGGTGGGATAACCTAGTGGTTAAAGCATTCGCTCGTCACGCCGAAGACACGGGTTCGATTTCTCACATGGGTACAATGTGTGAAGCCCATTTCTGGTGTCCCCCGCCGTGTTATTGCTGGAATATTGCTAAAAGCGGCGCAAAACTAAACTCACTCACTCTTTCTACATCAATCAACAACCACAAGACACGAGGGCCCTGTCAGTTGTTCTTCCAGTATTATTACAAATACACTTATACATGGTTTTTGTGCTATATTCTTCCGGTATTGATACAAAAACATATGCACATGTTTCCTGTCCGTTGTTCTTCCTGTATTAGTGAGCCATACAGATTCGTGGTTCCTGTCCGTTGTTCTTCCTGTATTAGTGAGCCATACAGATTCGTGGTTCCTGTCCGTTGTTCTTCCTGTATTAGTGAGCCATACAGATTCGTGGTTCCTGTCCGTTGTTCTTCCAGTATTAGTGAGCCATACAGATTCGTGGTTCCTGTCCGTTGTTCTTCCTGTATAAGTGAGCCATACAGATTCGTGGTGTCCTGTCCGTTGTTCTTCCTGTATAAGTGAGCCATACAGATTCGTGGTTCCGGTCCGTTGTTCTTCCTGTATTAGTAAGCCATACAGATTCGTGGTTCCGGTCCGTTGTTCTTCCTGTATTAGTGAGCCATACAGATTCGTGGTTCCTGTCCGTTGTTCTTCCTGTATTAGTGAGCCATACAGATTCTTGGTTCCTGTCCGTTGTTCTTCCTGTATTAGTGAGCCATACAGATTCGTGGTTCCTGTCCGTTGTTCTTCCTGTATTAGTGAGCCATATAGATTCGTGGTTCCTGTCCGTTGTTCTTCCTGTATTAGTGAGCCATACAGATTCTTGGTTCCTGTCCGTTGTTCTTCCTGTATTAGTGAGCCATACAGATTCGTGGTTCCTGTCCGTTGTTTTTCCAGTATTAGTGAGCCATACAGATTCGTGGTTCCTGTCCGTTGTTCTTCCAGTATTAGTGAGCCATACAGATTCGTGGTTCCTGTCCGTTTTTCTTCCGGTATGTGTTAATGTAATTCATTCTCAGGAAACATTCAGGTAACATTTGCTTTCATTTCTGACAATGTGTCCTGAACCTGTAAAAATAGGTATGTAAGTAAATTATATATATGGTCACCAAGTTTAGTAATGTCCCATGAATACATAAATGAAGTTTTCCTTGTAATAAGGAATAGTTATTTGCGACGTAAAAAAAACCTTGGTTCTTTTCTGAAACTGAAAAACTTCAAGCAAAAACTTTGTTTTATGAGGTTTTGTGAAGCCACAATGTATTTACAACGTCAAAAAGCTTTCTCTGAGTATCAAGAATGTCGTCCGCTGATTGATTACGGTAACTCTTTCAGACAGGGATTTAGTTGATTTGGTGGTGTGTACATGTATATGTACGTACAACATGTATCTTTATCTACCATGCTGGCGGAATGCAAGAACACATTTCATAAAACGCAATACACAGTCGTCTTCCTGTTTCTATCATATCAGTTATATAATTACTGTCGGTAAAGTAGGCAGTAACACTTACAGTAAGCAGTAGCAATTATATAAGCGGCAACAGAAGCAGTAACAGGCAGCTCCTAGCAGTAACATAATCAATAACATAAGCAGTTGCTCACAGTAACGTAGGTAATACCACCACTTGTACCAACAGTTAGTTGCTCACAGTAACGTAGGTAATACCACCACTTGTACCAACAGTAAGTTGCTCACAGTAACGTAGGTAATACCACCACTTGTTCACACAGTAACGTAGGTAATACCACCACTTGTACCAACAGTTAGTTGCTCACAGTAACGTAGGTAATACCACCACTTGTACC